AGTGCTGGCATCACTGTCCTTGTCTTCTCTCCCCCAGTATTGGCATCACTGTCCTTGTCTTCTCTCCCCCAGTGCTGGCATCACTGTCCTTGTCTTCTCTCTCCCCCAGTATTGGCATCACTGCTCTGCAGACCGATACCAATATCATCGAAGCCTGGGTCAGTCCAGTTGAAGACGAGTTCGGTGTCGTAGTAGGAGTACCAGTACCACAGGTTGAGCAGACCGTAGGACATGGGGAAGAGGATCCTGCTGACGGTGTCTATAACAGAGACGGAGTTGATGGATCGCTGGAGGCAGGCTGTCCTCTGTCTCTCCCTGCGGTAGTTCTCGTCGCCTGACACACCGAGACATGATAATTTACGTCATTCCAATATGACAAACTATACATTATTAGTATTGTTAATTATTATTATTATTATCATTAATTATTATTATTATTATTATTATTATTATTATTATAATTATTTATTAATTTTTATTATTATTAATTATTATTATTATTATTATTATTATTATTATTATTATTATTATTATTATTATTGCTGTTGTTGGTGGTAGTTGTAGTAGTAGTACTAGTAGCATCATTAGTATTAATAATAATAATAATAATAATATAAAATAATTATAATAATAATAATATAAAATAACAATATTATTATTACTTTTATTATTATTATTATTATTATTATTATTATTATTATTATTATTAATTATTATTATTATTATTGGTTGTAGTTATTGTAGTAGTGCTAGTAGTATCATTAGTATTAGTAATGATGATGATGATAATAATAATAATAATAATAATAATAATAATAATAATAATAATAATAATAATAATAAATAACAATATTATTATTTCTTTACTATTATTATTAATACTATTATTATTTTTATTAATATTATTATTAGTAGTAGTCTCTTTACCATATTTTTCTAATTAAAATATATATTTACTCTATCGGCAGTTTTTCAGCAAGTCCGGTGACACAGTGAAGGAAATACATTCATTATTAGTCGATGAATAAGTCTATTGCCATGAGTGGACGGCCATGACCACTATGAAAGACCTATGAACCTCTGCATCCTTATCTATCCTTCAGAGTGCGTCCACTGTGCTTCCTACCTCCAGAACTCAAGTTTGGATGACGGGTATCCTTTAATTCCTTCATAACTGTTACCTTTCTCTCACTCCGACAGCACATTATACCCTCAAAGCCACTTGTCTCCACTCACTCAGATATAATAAACACATACACATGCCTGCTGGATGCTCAAGCCTCTGTTACTCAAAAGCTCCATCATATAAAAAATAACCAGATTATGGGAGAAGCTTATTACGACGCACATTCTCCTGTGTGCAGGCTGTTAGTCTTTTGTTTCTTTTCTCCAGTTTTTCCACGGATTTCTCCTGTACATTATTCTACTCTCCCCTGTTTTACATGACCTCATTTTTACTTATTCTCTTTCAACCTCTTTCTAAATGGCTAAACTGTATTAATAACCTTTCTACTCTCTCTCTCTGAACTATGACATCAATATCGCCTTTCCTTCAAGTTTATGTATGTCGGCCTCTCACACGTTTTTTTCTCTTTCAGTCTACTGAAAACTTATGCACATTGGCATGTTTACATTCTCCACTTACTCTCCTCCTCCTTGTGTCATGAGAAGTGTTCTTGTTTCTCCCCTCCTCCTCCTCCTCCTCCTCTTCCTCCTAGTCCTATTCCTACTCCTCCTCCTCCTCCTCCTCCTTCTCCTAGTCCTCTTATCTGTGATTCTCAGTTTCTCGATTCGGAAATTTTCGTCCCCCTGAGTTCATTCTCTCGTCTTGGCTGACCTTCCAGTTTCTGAAAACATCACTGACACAATGTTACAGGACTGTCCTGTCTCGTAAATCTACTTCTTCACTAAAAACTCCTGTACAAAGAAGAAGAAGAAGAAGAAGAAGAAGAAGAAGAAGAAGAAGAAGAAGAAGAAGAAGAAGAAGAAGAAGAAGAAGAAGAAGAAGAAAAGAAAAAAGGAAAAAAACAGAAAGATATTGAGGTGGATAAAGACTGTATAGAACGCAACGAGACGATAGCAGGAAGGGAAGCAAGAAGAGGAATCGAAAGTTGAAGAGAAATAGAAGGAAAGGAAAGAGAAAAGCGAAAAACAAAAACAAAAGAGAGAAAAAAATGAAAACGTGAAACAATCGAGAATTGAGAGCTAAAAAAAAAAAAAAGAGTTAAGAGCAGAAATATCTTTCCCTTGAGAGCAGCAGAAGGCAAGAGTAGGACTGACCTAACACACAATGGTAGAACTGCGTCCAGCACCGCTCCTTCTTCTCTGTCTGGGTCTCGGTGCTCCTGAAGGTGGCCAAGCTGTCCCCGGCGTGATTCAGGACACCAGAGTCCTGTGGGAAGACCAGATACACATACTCCAAAATTCTCTTCTCTGTTAGTGTGACTCACCTTGCGTCATTATGTACTAGAGTGTGATCAGATTAATGAATTTAGAAACA